TAGTGGTTGACTTGGCAGTGCTGGCTTACTGGTTGGATGTGATTCTATGATCCACTTAGACTCCCTGGTGCAGCTTTGGTCCATTTCCATATGTCCTAACAGTGGATACTGGGAAGAAAAGCTTTGCACCTGCCTCTCTACTTCGACTCCTCAGGAAGCTGTAGAGAACAATGAATTAACCTCTCAGCCTCCTTTTCCAAATTAGACAACCCCTAAAGTCCCCAGTCTCTTCTCACAGGTCGCTCCTTACAGCCCTTTCACCAGCTTTTCTGCCCTCCTCTGGATGCATTCAAGGAGCTCCACATCCTTCTGAAGTTGTGGGGCCCAGAACTGCACACAGTACTTCTGGTGAGGCCACACCAGTGATGAATACAGTGGGTTATCATTTCTTTTGATCAGCTGGCTGTGCTGTCTTTGGTGCACCCATCCCTGGATAATTTAGAGCTTCTGCTTTTATTTTGTTTCAGAGCAAATAAATTAGTTTTAATATTTGTGATGTCAACATTTGGAAATGTAATGATACTTTCTTTCTGAAAGTATTATATTCAAATATTTTCAAACCATAAAATATATGATAAATGTAAAATAATATTCTAATATGTTATTGATTTTATATATCCAAAGGACCTGATTCTTAAAGAGCTAAACTAATTTGTCTATTATAATCCTGTTGGAATTAATCAAGGTTTTGCCTCCTATTCTGGGTGTAGAGTATCCTTTTACTTCCAAGATCAAAACAGTTGAGCTAAACAAAAGAATCTATTACTTTGTCAGAAACACCCTATTTTCTTCCTAGGTAGAAGTTTATTCCCTTTTGTAATCTAAGTTGTCCTATTACTTGTCCATTTGTATGTGAATGAAGAAGTTCTCAATAATCTGCAATTAAAGTTATCCTAAAGTCCCTGTTGATGATGCCTTTCAGCGATTCCACACCTTTGTGTTGAAAGATTTTTCCAGTTTAAATTGAACTCCTGCAGAGCCATTGCAATCAAAATAATTTAAAACAGAACAACACTAAGACAAAACAGGTTTCTTTGTTCAGTTACGTATTGGTTGGTTTGGGTTTTTTTCCATGAAAAGTACCTAATCAGAAAGAATGATCTGAGTGTCATCAAACCAAATGCAATATTATGATTTAAATTAGGAATAGCTTAATGCTAATTAAAAAACTATATTTTTGTGTTCTTATAACCTATTAAATTGGAGAAAGCACATTCAAAACAGTACTGATGTCTGATTGTGATGTTTTCAGTCTAGGCCTTCCTGGAGACCAGCTTGTAACCAGGAAGGAACTAGGAAAGTGACCAAGGAAGTATTCCATGCTATTCCTTTACGTAACCTAGGGTATAAATAAGGCATTGATAAGAGAGCTCGCTCTCTTCTCTTCCGGCGAGGTTGGAGAACGGTGGTCCCTGTCTGGGTCTGGCTTATCTGAAGTTGAGGCCTACAGTAACTGCTGTTGTCGGCCACGTGTGAGGGGGGAGTGCTGGGCCGCGTCCAGACGTCCTGCTTTCTTTCAAGGGAAGTGGTGAGCTCTTGCCAATTCTGGTTACCGGGTTTTTAGATTGTGTGGATCTGTTTTATTTTTTGTCCCTTTTCACCCTATTTTATCCTTTTCCCTTCTCCCTTCCCCCTCTTCCCTTCGGGAAGCTATTTGGGGTCATAGATTCATATATATAATTCTCATTGTATATCTCTGTTTTATATGTAAAATATATATATTTTTGCTAGAACTTTGGCTGCCTGTTTTTTTTTTCGGTTTTTTTCCTTCCCTCTCTGGGAAGGAGACCCTGTTGTCGAGTTTCGGAGACTTGGCAGGAAGCCAGCTCCAAACTTGCACACTGATATGTGGGGTAAATTTTCCTCCCTTCAATTTAAACAGAGGACTTCATGTAGTTGGGAGTGAAAGCTGGCAGGAATTAAAATTTTAGTTCATGAATATGTATATTTTTTCCTGGATAGTTGTTTATATAAATAATATATAAATAATAAGAAATTCAAATAAATATGGGACATAGCAGGAGATGGAGAGGAATGCAATGGTCTTTTATTCATATAGTATTTGATTCACTATCTTAAGTGAAAGTGTTTCATATATGAGGTTTTATCTTGTTGAAAGTTTTGAAAGAATCATGCCTAGGAAAAGAATCTGATGGCTACAATCTCCGTCCCAGATCATGCAATCAGATTGCAAAGGGCTTCATGAGATCTCTAGTCCAACTTGCTTCTCAAAGCAGGGTCAGCTATGAGATCAAACCATACCCATTTGGGTCTTGAAAGCCTTCAAGGATGAAGGCCCAATGTCTATGGATGAACTGTTCAATTTGTTTGACTGTCTTCCTGATGAGGACATAGCACCATTTTTAAAAATGTATTTGTTTGTATTTGTTTGTTTAGGCAGGTTCGTATCCTGTATACTGAGACTGCTCCATGACAGGACTGATGTATCAACAGAATAGGAGATGTTGGTTCATTTTGTGGTTGGGGCTATAAGCAGAAGTTACATCTGCTTCTCCATTTGCTGCAGGAACAGGGGAGAAACTGTAGATGTTTTCTACATAGCTATTTAACGTTGAGGCTCTCTTGTGTAGAGCTTCAGCTGGTGGATTAGTTGAGATGAGATTTTACTCATTTTACAAGTTGCAGGCTGATCACCCATGCTGAGAGTCATGGGTGATGAGATTTTTAACTTGGCTCAGTGTTTTTTGAAAAAAGTCTGGAGAATGGAAGACTGCTGTGAAATTAAGCAGCTGGCCTGACTACAATGATGACAGGTGCTAAAGAGCTATAGTGACAAATGATTTCTGATAGGAAATTCTAAGGCCTAGAGTTCTTCCTATAGGAACTGTCATCAAATAGTGTTATAAAGATGTCACTTCCGCCTTCTTCTTCATGTGATCTCGGCATCCATAGAGAGTCTATGGGCATTCCTGTGCTGAGACAGAACTGACTGGGCTGCATGAAATAGAATTCAGCCAAAAAAAGACTAAAACTATGTTTTTATGCCCATCAACCAGATAGCTATATTCTTTTTGCTGATTCTATCATCTCTTCTTCATCCGCGAGCTGATTTTATCTAAGGACTATGGTAATTTAAGAGATCTTATTTTTTTTGTCTGAAATGTAGCCTAGAATGTATTATATTCGTGTTCCTGACACTAAAGATGATTTTATAGGACTGAAACCTATTTCACCTTGCATTGTTGTTTTTGTTATTATTATTGTTGCTGTTGTTGGTCTTGTATCATCCATGTCCTTATCGTCGTTACAGATTAGCAAGGCACCTTATTGGATAAACAAAGTTCAAGCACTCCAGGAACTCCTTGATTAGATGCTCAATATGTAATTTAAGAAAACATTGTGGCAACTCAGACTTAGCCAATATTAGAAAATATATAGCTGAGCATAGTTGAAAGACTCTGTTTGTTATGTAAGCACTATTTTCTGAAATCAGAATTGCAAACCTTTTAAGCTGTACTCTTTACCATTGAAGTAGACAGTATTACAGAACTCATGTGCTACAGTTCTAGCTTTTAACATGAATATATTCCACATATAAAAAGTTTCAAGCAGTACAACTTTATTAATATGCATCATTATAATATGCCCTGCAGCACCACCAAAAACGTATTTCAAATAATCTGTATATTTTGTTCTTTCAAACCTGAGGATTTATGCATTTACAACTCAATTTTAAACTAGAACCAAAAAGAGAAATAAATATGTCTATTTGAATCAAATGCAAAATTTACTTCATATATCTTATGGCTTCATAAAACTAGAAGGGGATTTAATCCAGTTGTTTTGTTGTATTGTACATTATTGCTGCTCTGCTACACTTAGATACTAATTGAATTTAAATTATATCTTTTTTAGTTCAATTAACAAAGCTATTGCTTTCATGATGTTTGTTTGCACTCAGTTCATTGCTCTTTTTTTCCAAAGAATGAATGAATCCTGAAATAATTAATTCCCATGGAATTCTAACCTTTTATTATAATCCAAATAGCTAGTTGGTAAAGCTTAATAATTATGTTGATTTTTTTCTGTAGGATATTTAAGCTTTGGAAGCACCATTATGTGTATATTAAGATAAAACACCAGTTACATTTCAGATGTATTATCAAGTCACCCTCTTAAGGATTAATTTAAATTCATCTATTATTTAGGTATTTGTAGTTCTGTTTTAAATTTTTCTGCTGTCATACTACAATAAATGGAATGCATGACTGACATTCTGGAATCTAGTTAAGTTAATTATGCTTCCTTTATCCTTCTTTTTTGTTAATAAACTCTTCATTTCTTATAACATCCTTGTGATATCTTGCATATTACATGCAAGTTAGTTTAAACAGTGGAGGCTTCTTAATGACATTTTCATTATAAATGGTAAGTTATATTACACATAATGGTCTTTATAGTTTTTAATTAATCTTTGAAAGTAATTCAAATTACTAAACTCAGAAGGAAATAGTTTTGACTGGATACGGAAACATTCTTTAAATATTTTGCTTCAGATTGTAAGCATAGCATTCTCTACTTCCAGCAGAAGCATGTCTGAAAGAAACCTTATGAAAGTATCTAAAATAAGAACAAAAACCTGAATGCAAATTAAAATACAATTTCTAATCTTAGATGACAATATACATTGTATGGAAGATTGGAATCAAGTGTAAAAAGATTAGTATTTTATATAGTTATTTCACTGAACTTTAAAAAATCATAAAGTTAGAGCAGAGTGTTATTTGAAGTTGTAATATTTTGTTTCTATAGGGGCCATTTAGATTTTCTTTTTTTTCATGCTACTTGAAGAGGTAAGAAAGTTAATCTATCACACACACATGCACATATTTGAGGCATTACTTTATTTACGTGTAATCAGAAAATATTATCAAAGTTTTAACACTTTTAGGGGAAAAAAAGAGAATAAAAAGAGAAACATTGCCTTTTTTTAATACATTTTTATACATAATTCTATTATTATTATTCTGTCTCATCAGGTGCTACAACTATTGAAAAGTATGATCTCAGAACAAATATATGGATTCAGGCTGGAGTAATGAATGGCAGGAGGCTTCAGTTTGGTGTTGCTGTCATCGATGACAAGCTGTTTGTCATTGGAGGCCGGGATGGCTTAAAGACATTAAACACTGTTGAATGTTACAATCCAAAGACCAAGGCTTGGACTGTGTTACCACCTATGTCAACACATAGGCATGGCTTAGGTAAGAAAAACATTATTTTTAAATGCTGCCGCAGTTTTCAGTTATGTAATTTGCAATGAAAAACTGAAAACTCAGTACATTTAAGCTGTCATAGCATTCTGACCAGTAATAATTTCTTGTTAGGTCACTATGTATATCGAAGGTTAAAGTAAATTTTTATTATTTGACAAAATAATACTGGAAAAAGAAACCCCAAACCAACAAATAAATGGCAGAGGAACCTTGAAACTTACATAAATTAGTGAGAAAATTCAGATCTGTATGCACTGATTTTGAAAAAGGGCATTTTTAATTTTTCAAGCAGTCAAGGGACTAATTTTAATCAGAATTATGTGTTTACATTTACCTCATATGATAGGATATAAAGGTTATAGAGACTGTGTCAATGAGGGACTGATGTGCTTTACTAAGTATTTATAGCAATAGTTTCATCACGACTGAAAGCATATTTTTTCCTCAAGTGTTTTCAGATAAGTTGAGTTTTGTTTTGGTTTGATTTTTTAATAGTATTATCCATGCCATTGTCATCATTAATCAAACCACACTGTATTCCCCTTCCCTGTTGTTTTTTTAAATTAAATAAAATACAGTTCTGCTGCTTCCTTGAAAAAAAAAAGGAGTCCTTCTATTATATATCTCATATATATTTATGGTAGGAAAAAAACTAGTTTATTCAATTACATAATTAATTTTGTGATGTTTCAGAAATATTCTTTTTATTCTTAACTGTATAGTGATGAGATTTTCATGCTTAAATAAAGGCGTTTAGAATCTGTAAGTCATACTACGTATACCGGAATACCCACCAGAATATAAATTTATAAGGTGTGGAAAACTGAACTGCTCATTATCTGTTCTACTAAAATCATTTTGTGTGATAGAGTTATTGCAACATCATGAAAAGTAGAAATGGAAAAGAAATGCTGGGAGGAAAGGGTAAAAAGGGGATGAATGGTGACAAGGATGGTAGATTCGCTCAGGTGACCTTGCAGCTGGGAATGCCAAGGCCTGGAGATTAACAGTCGGGGAAACCCATATATCATGCCTACTGCTGTTTATCCTCTGTTTTGAGAAGTAGAGTTTACATGTAGAGAGAATGTAGGTGTTTGGAGAAACTTGGAGGCACTCTCATGGACATACTTGAGCTCCCTCTTTTGGGAGAGAGATCAAAGCTCAGAGATCATAAAAAGCACAAGGGAGATCAAAACACGGTGGTAAACTACGTGTGTGTGTGTGTGTACCCTTGATAAATGGGTGCCAACAGCAGGCCGGCCACTCACCAGGATAGACTGAGCCTGACGATGCCTGTGTTCCCACTTGTGTGTCTCTACTTTGGGGTCCTCTGGTTAGCGAGGAAATGAAATAGATTTACTCTTTGCATTTCAGCTGTGGTTTTGTGGTTATTCTGGCTGCCTGCCTGTGTCGACTCACACAACAGGCTATGTTATCTTGTCCATTCCCCTGAGTTACAACTAGCAGCAAGTCCTTTAATGTACTGTTGGGTAAATATTGCACAAAATGAACATGCTTTCCTGCCCCTCCAGTCACAGCATTGGACACTTGTAATACATACATACTGCTGCTGTTAAACAAGTCTTAACATTTAAAATAGTGATGGGAATCTATATCAGATGGCATCATGACACTAAATAGCTCTGTGATTTAGAATTGTTTCCTAAGTTTAAATTTAATTATAAATTAGAAAGTACATGAGAAAATACATAAATTACATGCAGAAATACATGTAATATCTCTTTTACCAGTGTTCCAAAATTTTACAGAACCTGTTATTAGTTTCAGTACTGTTCCCAAGGGTAGTAAAAATACAATAACTTCAGCTATAACACAGGAAAGTATTGGAATTCTTGATAGAGAAAAAACTTTTCCCAGTGACAAAAGAGATGGATCCATGATCAAAAACCCTTGACGATCAGTTTAAAAGAATAATTTTGGACCAATCATTTTACAGATGCTTTTGGTCAATAGATTTAAAAAATACCATTATAATTTAAGTTGAGGACAGTTGAGGTTATGACTGGAGAAAAACTGGTACTTTTTCTATAGGAAAAAAAAGGAACAGATGAGGCATTTGACCACTTGAGGGTTTTTTTTGTTTTCTGTGGAATCCCTTTTTAATTTTTCTGGTGAAGAAATTCTGGCTTTTTGTAAACAATATGTAAAATGAGGAAAGAAATGTAAAATGAGGAAAGAAACATAAACTGAGGTGATTAAATGCAGTTGTTTGGGAAGCATTAGAGATGTGCTCTTTATTTGGAATTGTGTAAGAATCATGATGTATTCTTTCCTGAGAAGCTTAGTTAATAGAATTTAATTGCTTTTTTTATTGCAACTTTTTTCTAAGTATCCCATAAAGTTATTAATTTAGTAATGCCCTTTGTAATGAGAAATTAGTCTGAAGTAATAAATCTTTTTTGTTAGTTTTCTAAACTATGTGCTGTGCTACATCCATGTAGTGATAATGCTAGAGCAGTTTGAATTGGTTTGTATACAGGATTAGAAATAAGCACCCATCCTTTTCATGAATGTCTTTTTGTTGACATAGCAAAAAATTTTCAGAGGTACCCCATTGTAACTAAAGTCACAACCAGGTAATGCAATTCACTTTATCCTGTCTTCATATAATCTTCAATAGATCCATGTATATATAAGTTAATATACGTAGAAATGAGGAAATAAAAACTGTCAGGTCTTGTAGTGAAAGTACATAGTGTAGGAAGTCATATATTAGGCAGTTTCAAAGCTGCCATTGAAAAATGAGGGAAAACTCATGGCAGTGTTTGCAATAAGTCGTGCTTAACTACAAAAAAGAAAAGACAGACTGTGAGATGCACTAATATTTAAAATAATAGGGATTCTAATATCCCTGTTGAGTAATCCTTAAAACAGAATGGAATATGAAAGAGCAATAAGACACCAGAAAGGCAGTGAAAGGCAGAAATGAAATGTAAAACAGATTGTGGTTTATAAATTCAGCAATTTTGTGAAGCAATTCTGCATCCATTTTTCCAGTTTCTTTGCTGAACTTAATAGTCTACACAGAGGAGAAGAGAGAAAGGAAACCAGTGATAGACTAATTAAAATTTTAGATATCAAATCCAGTGAAACCATGATTTAAAAAAAAAAAGAACCAAACAAAAGATTGGTACTGAGCTTGTCTTTCCAAAATAAACGATTTAGTGCCACAATGAGAAAATTAGGCTTCCGGTATAATTAAGGGAGAACAGCAGTCTTTTCAGGTAGGTGTTCTAAATTGTCTTGTTCTTTCCCTGAACTATGTAAAGAGTGCCTAAGCTCTTATTTTAGGTTTTGGCTGTGTAAATATACTGATCTCACTATCCATAGTCAAACATATTTGCAAGATGATCAGTGTGGGAAGGATGCTAACGGGGCATGGCATTACCTAATAAAATCCTGTACAGCTTAGAGTGGAGGCAAGTTAAATATTTTTCCTCCTCCCCTCTTGGAGGAGAGAGTTTTGCCAGTTGTAATCATCTGAATGAAAATGCTATAAAATTATTCATTGCTGATGGGAAAGCCTTAGATTTATTTATACAGGATATAGGCCTAGAGTAGATAGGATTCACTCTACAGAAATGTATCTACCTCTGAATAAAATTTGTTTATGGTAACAAAGAATATGGTATATATATGGTAAGAGGGCAAAAATTAAAGGATTGGCATAAAGAAGGACCCACACAAATCATATTGACACTTCAGCAGATAAGGTTTGCACTACAGAGTAGGGCCCACTTAAAATTTGGCCACTATCATTCACTGAAGTATTGAATCACATAAGTTATATTCCTTTAGAGCCAAGCTAAAGTCTGAAAATAAGCTATAAATCTTTTGGTTCAGAAGGAGAATATTAGTACCAATATTATGTTTGTAATCTAAAATGTAATTCCCAAATCAAATCATCATAGAAAGGATCATATTTGGACAGTCTAGTTCCATTTAGATTTTTTTTTTATAGGAACATACAAGAACATTACAAACTAGAACCTTAGAGATAAAATTTGGGTACCACAGCTTCAATTACTTTTTATCATCTGTACTTATCAGTGGAAAGCTCTTTTTTTTTTCTTTATTTCAGGGAAAATTAAGACATAGCATAATCTAGCTTTATGCAGTTATACAGACATTAAGAATCTGAATTTGTACAGAAACAGACTGAAAGCAATGACAGTTTTCAGTAGTTCAAATTTGGTCATCAAGGCCATTGAGTCTCGAAAATAAGTAGGGTTTTTTTCTGCGTTTGGATATATTTTTTCTTTTTGAGCTTTACAGCAAACTAAATCCAAATTTTATGTATGTTGTGTGTATGTAAAAGAAACCAGACTGTGGAGATTAAAAAGAACAGAGGTAAAGAGACAGATCCATGAGAATCTGAGATTCTATTCTGGACATCAGGGCAGATACGAACCTGCAGTGTCCTTATGGACTGGAGGCCAGAGATGAAAGGCAGGAAGAAAGAAACGTCAGTAAAATGAAGATAATTGAATTAGCATTGAAACCAACAGATAAGCTCATACCCTAATGGTATGATAAAACTGTAATTATTTATGATTAATTAATTTCCCAGAAGTGCTGTAAGCAGAGCAACTATTTATACATAAAAGAATTCTTGAAAGATATAATCATATTTTTTGCTGAATGTTTGTTACAGTGCCAAACAGTTAAAATATTGGATAAAGGAAACTTTTCCTGTTACTAGTTTATTGAAGCATATTGACAAGTGGAAATATTATACCACTTCATACTACCACACATATAATACTGAACAAATTCTACTGCACTGGGCAATGATATTCCATATTTCCAGATGTATGCGGCAGTATTTAGATACTCTGAGGAAATGATCATGATTGTTCAGTTGAAGCTTAAATCAACAGAGCTGTGATGGATGCATCCTCTACATGTCAAATCTGCAGCATATTCTGCTAGTGCAGGAAATCTGAGGAGCTTTTGGACCTTGATAT